TGATGGCTGTCAGAAAGAAGGGTGAAGTGCTACCTTTTTAATCCCAAATTATTTATTATGGAAAAGCAAAATATTGAAGGTATAAAATTGATAAAGGGGAACATCAGAAGACTTAAAAATAAGCTTTTAATATTTCCGCACATTAGTTTATTTTTTATGAAATGTTTCCATATGGCTACAGTGATCACTTAATATAGGGAACTTAATATATTATATACTTCGAGAAATAAATACAGTAAAACTGGCCATTTTTGTTACGTGAATTAAAAAAGCAGTTCTTCAGATTCGTAATATATATCCTTACACAACATTTTAATTATTTAGGCCTTGAAATTTCATTTGGCAATATTTATCATAATATTTTGCAAATGTTTAGAGCAACAAGAGTTGTTTGAACTGCTTCCGGAGAGCCTGGAAGCCGTTACTTCCTTTATCAACAAACTTTATCACCATTTACTTCTTTGAAACATAATACCATTTCCGTAGTTTTTCATTCTCTTTCGCTTGGTCAAAATAGATGTAAGCAAATGTTCAACCTTTGAATTTAAATATTAGTTTAGATCTGAAATATGATGTACTTTTCCTCTTTTTTGAAAATAATATCTTTGATTGTGCAGTTTGTTATTGTTCGTAGGAGAATTTCATTATTTTCATTCTGCATCTGCGCAGAATCCAACAATATTGTTTAGTAATACCAGATTTATCATCTTGACCGGAAACTCTCTGTATAGTCTGAATTCATTGCTAATTAATTTAATATTTCTCTCTCTCTCTCTCATATATATATTATATATATAAATATATATATATTATATATATAAATATATATATATATATATATATATATATATATATATATATATATAATGTTGTCTAAACATATATACTCAGATATGTAAACACTCTTTAATTCTATTTTATCATTGCAAATTGGTTTATTTTTAGTTATTCGGAAACAAAAAAATTGATTAATAAGAACTCACGTGTGAAATACAATTTGTAATGTTAATATTCGGTTTTTATCAAAATAAAGGAGTATAATAGTATAGGTTATTACTTCAGTACTCACCTACATCTTTTATATCACCATTTTCAACTCCTACGTCATTCGAAGAAATATTTGAATCTTCATCATCAACATCAATTTTTCCTTTATTTTTCAGATCCAACAGTAGTTGCAGAAAATCATTACGCTTTATATTATTCTTTTGGCGATAGTCCACAGTCTCGCTCACTGCTCGAATAAAAAAGTCTCCAACGTCCTTGGGTGGGAATTGTGAGTTAAAGAGTTTTCGAAGAGGTGGGCAATACAGCTGAATTATTCGCTGAATTGACAATTTCTTCGTCGACGAGAACGCTTTGCGTCCCATTTTACGAAATTCCGAATCTGGATTTTTCATGGAGTTAAACTGAATTCCAAAGGCACAAGTACCAATGATATCGGTAGTCATTTTTGCGAACACCTCTTTGAATTCAACTTCCCCTGTAGAGCTTGCTTCGCTCTTCACAAACTCCACGAATTCTTGAGCACATTCGTACATCAGTGCGAACATCAGCTTCATTTTGCCAGAAGTGAACGTGGGCGTGAGTTTGGCTCGAAGAGATCGCCACCTCGCCCCAGCGAGATTGAACAGGTTGGCGCTCAGGGGGTTTTTCTCTTCGTCCACGTGCATTCCACGGTCGTGAAAATGGGCGAAATCCTTAAGGAGCACGCGTTTGATCAGGTCGGGGTCCTGAATGAACAGGATGGGACTTTTGACTCTCCATGCGCCTGCCAGTTTATGTCCTTTCATTTCCTTGTACAGGTCTTGTGTTGCTAAGGCAGTTGACTTCCTGCCAAAGAATTGGTCTTTGAAGTTTCCAAAAAATGGCTCAGGCTTTGCAAATGGGACGTTTCTTTTTTCCCAGTAGTCAAAGTTGTTTGTGAAGTGCCAATAAATAATTATGCATAGCGTAAATAACACAAGAATCAGCTCTTCAGCAAATGATTCCAAAATGAAGGCCATTGTGATATCTGCATTTACAAAAAGAATAATATTAAAGTTGAAAAATTATTAGAGAAATATATTTTATCTTCGTATATCATAGTAAATGATTAAACTCCCAGTAACAGAATAAATTGTTTTAAAGATAATGTAACTATAAAACTTGCTTTATGTAAATTAATGTTTCTTGTAAAGTGAATAACATAGCTTTATGAATTTTATGTCTATTTACAAAGAAATTTGACTGTTTTAAATAACGTCATTTCTCCTTTATAATCAATCTGGTACAACTATTTACAGCTGAAAAACAAGAGTAGTCCTTAAACACACTGAAGAAATATAGTAACATTCTATTATAATTATACATATTTATCATGTCTTTAAAACCCATCCATTCATCTTCTCACTGCTAAAAAAATACAATAATTTTATTGCCTCATATCAGTAATTTGTTTTGTATAGCTTTTCATTGTGATACATTAAATTATTTAACTCTGTTATAATAAAATAAGTAAATTGCTAGTTTGTCGTTAGCAGAAGCGATACTAGTTAGCCGTGACTACCTTACAATTTATTGAAGAAATATGGATACTCACTTTCCGTTTTAAAAGTTTTGACATAAGACGAATGAGATGACACTGAATTAGAGGATATTTACTGTCCACAGTATTGGCAGTGATGCTTACATTGAACGTTTCCGGTCTTCACTCACCATTACGCACAGTGTGCTCTTAATTGCTTAATTGTTATTGTGTTAACTCCACGTACCTTCAGTTCCTTCCGATCTTGCGCTGCAATTCTCTCGATACATGAAACGACTGGCAAATTACAGCGGTCACGCCTTCTTCTGATTTAGAGAAAACAATATACAAAAACACAAAACATCTGGTAAAGACCAAGTATAAACATATGCTTCTAAATAGAATACACCATGATAATACCTATCAATCTACTCCCCATGGATTGCACGCCATTTTTGTCTTAGTGCTCTTAATATAGTTAGAGGTTGGCCGGCGAGTGCGCCGGCAAATGCTGAAGTGCGCACTGTTATCTCGTATGCATAATCACCTACCCGTCACAATACATCAAGTTATGCAGTATCTTATCTACTACTTTAATTCGGCATGTTCCTCCTAGAACGCAGTAGTTTGTACTTCAGGATCTGAACAACTGCACAACTACAGGTTCTTTTAAATGATATTATGAAAATTTACTGGTTTTAAATTTTATTTCATACTCAAGAATGTTTTTTTCTTCTTTTCTTTTTATAGAAATTTTCAGCCACTCCCTACGGGAACATGGAGAACACTGGCAAATTTATTGTACTTTCTCGTGTACTAGTTACATAGTAGCGAAACAGTATTGTAATAATGTGGACAAAACCACATTTTTTTCTGTCAAAAAACTCGAGTTTTGGATTCTGAAATGAAAAAAGTTGTTCATTCATGTAGTATATGACTTCCTTCAAAGTTTTATAACCAGAATCCATTTTTCGTACCGAAAAACTGGTTTACGGTCTGCCTGTTTGACGGGCGGACAGACTGTTTTTTATTTACATTTAGTCTGTCCGCACTGTCTGTCTGTACTGTTTAGTGGTCAACCGTGGCCAGCGCTAAACCGTTCAGATCCCCCCCCCCAAACTAAAACTCCATCGATCTAGCCGAACTCGATGCTATGCAAAACAACAGATATTTTCACTTTTGGAGGTAGTTTACATGTCTTAACATTTTCAAAATTTTCTCGAAAATTGTCCCACACGTGTATGTACTAGTGTGTGTTCATTTTATTTGTTCAGAAATAAAAAAAGTAACACAGAAATAAAAACGCACCCAATTTAAACAATTCGACTGCTTTTTTTTTATTTCTGGATTAATTTTTCTTTCTAAACAAATATATATGCATTTCTTTCATTCATTGATTCATTCGCATTTTGAATAATTTTATTCATCGCAAGAAAACTCCCAGAGATAGATGTCAGATATCACACTGATTGAAAGACAAACTCATTTTATTAAAATGATTTTGTCTGATTAGATCATGCTCTGTAAGCCACCAATGCATTTTGTCAATTGAAAAAGTTAAAGCCACAAATTCTTACACTTTACTGAGCATTTTTGCCGAACCAATTCGAAAAGCCTCAAGTTTACGAACGATTAATAATCATTACGATGTGGATTAAATGGGGGGTGAGAGTACAAAAAGTTTGTCTTTGGCTACATGTCAAGCACAATGCCGTAGCAATGTAAATATAACTTAAAACAACTGCGAGGATTTATGATAAAAGTAATGCAAGATGAATCATTGTGAAGAGACTAGCAAGGTAAATATCCTTGTGATGACAAGGCAATCAATGTCACATTTTTCATTTACCACGTAACGCCATGATTCATTCACATTTAAATCATTTTATCAAAAGGGGAAGTACTAATGATTAAGTTTCCATCACAAGAAAATAGAGATTTATTAATGTAATTTAATGACCTTAAATATTTTACTTATGTTATTGTCAGTACCCTATGTACTTAGTTATGTTACTATTGGAAAATATGTAATAACATGTAATATGTAATGTAATGTAATGTCTGATGAATAGTTGAGAAGAATCATGACTCACAATTCATTATATTGAAGTGGAGAAAATTGTCAAGTGTCACGTATCTGTTGTGTGACAGTTATTCGTTCACTTTTCCGGTTATCCAATAAAGTTTTAGCGATCGAGCTCTCATGGCAATCTACAGAGTCAATAAGCTAAATTAAATAAGCTTCGACCATATAATGTTTTACTTATCGGACACTCATCTGATTACAGTCAAAAACCATTTTATTCAACTTCTATAAGCTAAAAAATTTAATTAAGAAGAAAAAAGTGTAAATAATGGGTAATTCCTTCCACTAATTGAGAATCTACTAGTTTGCAGTAATTTAACTATGTAAACTGGATGAATAAGCAAAAATGTCATGCGTTTTGAGTAGATTATTTTCAACTTCGATCTTTGTGTAGAAAACACACGAACATGTATTATCACAACTTTTTTATTAAAAGACATATACAAAATGAAATTAATATTTAAAATTATTAATGGCTATTTCCTGTATTTCATGATGTATTATCAGGGACCTTACTAATATCTATTACAATTATATTTCATCATTCAGATTTCATCCTTACTGGAACATTTTAGAATTACAGAAACAATTTACCCAGTAAGATAACACGTAGTATATAGTTCACCATTATTTAATATTATTCATACTAACTATTATATTTAACATTGAACCTCTTAACACAAGTATTATCAATTTGCGTTTTTGTCACATTTCTAAATATATTTTGCCTTATATGAAACAGTATCTTCACTTCCTAGTGTGACAAAAACATAAATGATATTTTTTTCAAAATATTTCTATTGTAAAATACTGTGAGGCCAACAACTCAACAACTTGTAATTTGCTGCATAAATTACATAAATTATAGCGGTATTTCGAAATACCAATTTTCATAGGAATATAGAAAACTAAAAAAATTGAAAGCAGTTAAACGAAATGAAAGAAAGCGGTAAGATGGTAAACGGTTGATAATTAAAAGAAACATAATTAAATATGATCCTGACGGCAAAGTCATCGAATTTAAAACCGATGGGAACAAGTAAACTTGCCAGGTAATTAAATTAATATTTTAATATTTAATTACAATAGTGTCTGAAATAAATTTGGAATTTGTTCAATAAATTATGTTAAAATCGGAAACGTTTATGATTTATTGAAATGTACCGAAACAAAGTTTCGCTATCCATGTATCTACATATTGAAAGAAAAATATCATTACCATCCTTCGACAAATGATGAAATTAGTTGAGTGTTCACAAATTTTCGTAAAAACTTATGTTATATTGTCTTAATACAACTAAACAGGGAAACGTAAAATCACTCTTAAGAATTTTTCTCCTGAAAAATTACGTGCAATAGAACAGGTAATAAATATATATTTTTAAATTTACTTTGCACCATCCGTAAAGACAATCGAAACAAATGAGTTATAGCTGAAGATGCCGGAAGAGTGCAAAGGATAGCTCTTTATGATGCGAGTCATAAAACTGACATTTTGTTTTCCGAGTAGGACATGTTTTTACCCGAGGTTGGCAAGCCAGGTGGCGCAATTCTACCACCGTAATAAAATCACATGTATCGCGCGTGGCACACACTATTGTTTATACTGCCTTCCGACTTTCTTTTTATTTTAATTTCACTATACAAATCACTTAATTGGGTATCATGTCACATCAGTTGTAGCTGATTTTACGATACGTTGTTTTCTTTGTTGCATTTACAGTTTTACCAGAACATTTGAGCAGCGATTCACTTTTAGCATTAGTGCTAAAAATTGAACTTCAAGCACGCTTTGCATGCCCTAAAATTAACCTCTTACTAGTGGCTGTTTAAATAAGTATTTCTTATTTATATTATTTCTTATAAGGTGGTAAAACGAAAAGTATTGAACGACCACAAATAACTGACATGTTCGGTTATTTGCTCTATACCGGCCTATAGTGCAATTTTTTAACTGTGCCCCAGAGACCGTCTTCACATTGTCATTATATCACTGCATTTCACGTCTTTCTCGGTCGTGCCGCTAGATGTCGCGACAGCATCAAGTAGTGGTGGTTTCAATCGCCATGATGCGTCATCTAGCGGCACGCCGAGAAAGACACGAATGCAGTGATAAAGCCAAAGTGAAGGCAGCGCTCAGGTGCATATTGAAAACAATCGCACTCCAATGGCGTTAATAACTGCAACCGCCACTCGAGTCGTTGCAGCGCGTCAGAGCTCCGTGGTGGCGACGGCGGCCGGGGCCTTCCTGGGGACGAGGCGCACCCAGACGCCGCCCTTGCACGTGATGACGAAACCCCTGGGGTCCAGCGTGAGCGGGTGCGGGGTGCGAGGGCTCGGGGCCAACTCGTAGCGAGAGAGCAGCGTGGCCAGGCCCAGCTTGGCTTGCAGCATTCCAAAGCGCAGGCCTGGGGAAAACGGAACATACCCTGATTCCTAAAACATTTCTCTCGAGTATATTAAAAAAGGTGGTTAACGTTAGAAAAGGGGCTACAAATCGGTTCAGAATTTCTTAGTTAGTTTTCTAATCTCTTGAATCAGGGTCAGCTTTACTCTTTTGCCCCATCAGGTTCTCAACTACCAGCTATCGGCGCCTACAAGATCTACCAGGACCTCCCGCGGTACCTACCTCACTCCTGGGGTCATTCCCAGAAAAGAGCGCCTTCACACTCTTACAAAGCATAAAGCCGAGTTACAACTTAGGTCCAGCTCGTTCCTGTTCCATTACATATACAAATAGGCTCACGGTATTCCTTGGGATTAACCCTGTGCTTTCATATACGAGCTGCTGAGAGGTAGAATAGTATAAGTCACTTAGATCCCGACTTTGACTTATTCTGTATATGGATGGTATTGGGAGATGTACACTCTCAGGAAAATTGGCATATGTCGAACTTTCATTGCGGCTGCTTATGAGAAGTTCTGCGAGGAGAATCGAAACAGAATCAAACGACGCAACAACGCAAAAATGCTGACCAGGAAAATTAAAAGTACGTAACTTATACCTACCAGCAGCTCGTATATAAAAGCACAGGGATACGCCCAACGGATACTGTAAGCATATTCTTATATGTAATGGTACAGAAACGAGATGGACGTCGGCTTTATGTTTGGGGAGATTTAATTTGGTAATGTCCCCAGGGAGGTTGGGTTTAGAGAAGTTGCCATCAGAAGGGATCAGTTTGACTGGTTGTAAAAAAGAAAGTCTCACTGGATGATAGCATTGCAAGAGATTGTTTCGAAGCCATCTACAAGCGAGCCAACTGTAAACGAAGGCATTAACAAGTTAAGCATATGACATAACTCGCAGTTGTGCTTCCAGCGTTAGCCAAGCAGTAGCTGTCAAAGCGGTCCCTTCTTAGAGTAATCTCTCTATACCGAAGGAGATTCTATTAGGTCTTGTTGGTGTCGGTACATGTCAGCCGCGAACAGGCTAGAGCAAAAGCTTTAAAGCGGGCCATGAACCAAGATATTAGGAAACTAACTTATTCGAGGTCTGCACCGATTTGAAGACCGACTTTACTGCGATTTCGCCAGCTCTGCCCCTGGCAGGTATCAGCTGTTGAGTTTCATCCAGTCGATCCTAGTCACTATTGAATTTAATCACTAGGGTCGATGTCACTAGGGTCGATGTCTCTAGGGTCGATGCCTCTAGGGTCGATGTCTCTAGGGTCGATGCCTCTAGGGTCGATGTCACTAGGGTCGATGCCTCTAGGAAGACGTTCAAGCTCCCGATTGAATGAAACTGCCAACTGCCTATACCAGCCAGGGGCAGCGTTGGAGAAATCGCAGTATAGTTTAATTATCTTCTGTGTCGCAGACAACCACTCCCTTCCAAGCACTAGCACCTCTTTTCAACTGAGTCATTCACTCACCAATGCACACCCTGGGGCCCTCTCCGAAGGGCAGGAACACGTAGTGGTGGCGCTTGGCCTTCTCCGCTTCACTGAACCGCTCCGGGTCAAACCGTTCAGGGTCAGGGTAGTACTTGGGGTCGCGGTGCAGCGCGTACACCGGAATCTGCACCCGCATTCCTTCCTCGATGAGCACGCCCGTCTCCGGCTCTCGGTACGCCTTGTTGCACTTGCGCATCAGCACGGCCACGGGCGGGTACTTCCTCAGAGATTCTGCCAAAAGGAACGGCATCGGAAATTTATTACAAAAAAATATCAGACCCTTATAAAGTTGCAGCATGATGCGTAAAATATCAGATCGTCTATACAAAATATAAAATATACTTTTTTTGGTACTTAAGGTCGCATTAACCTCTAGGTCATTAGCGACCAATATTGCGTGTAATAATATAGTAACTATGAGTATGACAAGACATGATGATGATAGGAGTGTGAAAGGACGAACACAATACAACCATGCTCGAGGCGGGACTCGAACCCGCGATCCTTGGGTTCGAGATAGCTATGGAGAATACACTTGTTCGACGAGTGTTTTTACTAATGAAGTATATGGAAAAAATAATATCTTGAAAAATAGAAATGAAATGTTTTTCAATACGGGTAGATCGGGAGTTCTCATCTACCATACTCCTCCTACAGCCTTTTGGTCAGAGTCACTGCCGTGGCAGGGCCAATGTTGGCTCTGGTATAAATCAACCAGTGAAACTAACCTGAAAACACTTTTTAACAAGTCGTTCGTTATTGAAAAATAAAGACAATACATCGCCCATATCAGGAGACTTATTAGTTTACTCGCAAATTCATTATTTTCCTTAAATCAACATTCTGTGCAAAGAGTCAGTGGCTGTGCTGGATTGAGATTCCGCTGTTGCTGATATCTCTGATATAACTGTTTAAAATCGCGTTTGTACGAAGCTAATGACATTACATGATTACAAAACTTAAATACATTAAAAGGAAAAAGAAATATAATTTCGCGACTACTGCAGTAATAAGGAAAGTTTTCCTTTATCTTTTGAAACGACCATTCACTGTCAGCCCCCCGTGGCTTAAGCCTGCTTACACGGCCATTTTCTCATCATTTTTCTGTACAGAAAATTGATGGAAAACGTACGTTGCTTTCTATGCGATTGTGTTTCGGTATCAAAAGTGGATGAACGATTTCCAGCATTTTACAACTTCCGCACGTAATCGTGATGAAACTATTTTCCCTAGACGCCGCAAAGCGCGCTGCAGATCAAAGAATTTAACAACGCATCTATCGTAACAAATTAAGTGAGGTTAATTTAGGACTGAGCACGGCACGAGACGACATTAAAACACAGTCCCTGTTTTATTTTTCACCACACTGATCTCATCATTCTCATTAGAACGCTCTCAAAGCTGCACAAATGGAACAAATCTCACCACACGCATAGCAAACTAGAAAGTGACGCCAGAAGCGCGGAACTCAAAATGAATGAAAACTATATCGAAAATTGAAGCATACGCCACTTTTCTGTACAATCCACATCCCGTCTGGTCCAATACCTTCGTATACTTACGAATAATGAAGAAAAAATGACCGTGCAAAGCGCACTTTACACTGACCGTTTATGACCATTTCGAGGTAGTCCATCTTCTTGAGGGCCTCGTACGTGATTTGGCCGCCCGTTTCCTTGAGGACGGCGTCGATCTCGGCGCGCAGCCTCTCCTGCACGTGCGGGTTGGCGGTGAGCTCGTGCAGGGCGAAGCTCATGGTGGTGGAGGACGTCTCAAAGCCAGCCAGGAAGAAGACGAACGCCTGGGCGGCCAACAGGTTGGTAGTCAGCTCTGCAAAGCGCGAATGGTTTAGATTTAGATTTATTCAGCCAAAAAAAACCAACAGTAAATCTGTATGTGACGTAGAGTGGAAAATATTATCTGCGCACGTTCTGGTTCATTGGTTCTTAGTGATTCCGGGCGCGTCAACTACTAAGACAATTATTCCCGTAAGTGTAGTGTATCTTTCTTCCTCGAGAGTTGTCAGTGATCATCCCCCGCTGGATGAATAAAATCCGGAACCGACCAATCGCCAGTTAGCGGGGTTTGCTTCAAGTAGGTACGCGTATCTCCCACCAGCGAGGCCCCGGCCCAGCCGGGACAAGCTCTAAGCCCCCGACAGGCCTCCCGGCCTTTTTGTAAGTTGTGCGAGTAGTGTAAGCGTGTGTAAGCGTGTGTAAGGGGTGAGGGTAGAATAAGGAAGATGTAGGAAAGATTGCGGGAGGTCCGCTGCCGGTTTGTTAGGGTACTGCTCCACCTGGTGTTGAAAGAAAAAAACCATGGAAAACTACCGATCATGCAGCTGGCCGCTACAATTCTCTTCCAGACTGATACTGAAATCGAACTAACTTACAAGCTAGTGTCAGAAATCCTGCCACAGTTGGGACTCGTACCTACGACCTCCCGATCAGAGGCACTGCTATGACATCACTTGATGCACTGAGCCATTTCTCCCGGTAGCAAGTGCAATCGAAGCATCAGGTGAGAGACGCTCTACTTTTCTCGTCTTACTACGCAATACCAGAAAGTATTGAAATCATGCGCCGGAAAACCGTGATTTTATGTCAAAAACTCTTTATGGCCGCACCTTGGTAACAAAAAAGATAAATCTTGCTCATGTTTATAGTAAATTAATTCCTCTAACACCACTCCAAATTTTGTGAGCCCTTGATTAAAAAAAAATGTTTCATGGCAAAACGTCACTATGTCAGTCTGTTCATTCATCTGCCTGTGGTCAACACTAGCACCGAAACCCTTCAGCTGGTTTTCTCAAAAACTTATATTCCTCCAATCGATCTCTGTGAACTCGAGGCTTTGGGGAATTCAACCGGTTATTTTGATTTTAGGCGGTAATTTATATGAGGCCTAGACACTTTCAAAAATATCTCAAAAATAGCACCAAATATCTTGATTAATATTTGATTGGTACTCGAATAGCTTAAAGAAGAGTCACAATAGCGTAAAGACGAGCAACTCGGATAGCGTAAAGAGCCACAAACATAATATTCGTTGAAATTCTTGACTTTTCAAAAATGGCGAAAGTTTGAAAATTTTTCTGCGTCTGTCCACATTATGAGTGGTTTTCGCAAAATTTTGCATGAAATATAGGTCACTCAAAAAAATTACTTTATAAAAAAGTTCTCAAATTTTCTTCACATTTTTTCGTGATATGTATCAAAGGACGGTAAAAAATTAAGCTAGTCGTATTTTTGACGAATTCTCTGAATTTTTGAAACTTGATAAAAGTAAACATTGGAAAATACAGTGCTGATGAAAGATTTTTTTCTTAAAGAAAATTTGTTCTAAAAAATCAAATATTTAAAAATAATCAAGGACAATTATCAAAAAAGAGTAGTTTTCGCATTATTTTTGCTTGAAATTAATGCAAAAAAATCTTAGGAGCTTCTCCAATTGTCTTCCTCGATGCTTTTTTCACGAATAGAAGGAACGCTTAAATGAATAATTTTCGTGGAACTCTTGGAATTTTTGAAATACATATACATAAACACCATTTACTACTTTTCAATTGCTAGCGGTTATCATCAGAGGTGAAAAGTTTCATAAATTCCTATCAAACGAGGGAACATCAATAGCCATCTCTCTGTCGGATCCAATTTATTACCACTGCCCATCAGAATCCCATTTACTCAACTATTCAAATTACTACGCTTGTCCTTTTTATTCAGTACATGGAAAGCGTATCTCACATTTATCCAATTTTACATTGAATTTTCCCTTGCGTACAATTTTAGTAATATTCAATACTTACATTATTTTATTTCCTGACTGTTGCTGTTATATTTATTTAATAGATTTACCTTAATAAGATTATCAATTCTTTAATACGATAAGTGAGATGGATACCTTCTAACAATTAAGTAAATAAAAGGCGTTGTCCATTATAAAAAGTATTATCTTCTTTTCGATAGGGTAGCTATCATCATCATCATCATCATCATCATCAGAGCTATCTGATGATGACTGATTTTTTCAGATATTCCTCTTGATGATGGCTACGCTGTCTAAAAGATCTTAAGTTAATATATACTTTTAATACTGAACACCTTTTATTTACGTGATTATCAATTCTACAACTAATGGCACGTTTCAGAAAGTGAAGTGCACTGGACAATATAAATGAAATCGAGGCATAAAATAAAAATATTTCTTCCACTTACCAAATTCTTGAGCATCGCTACCATTTTCATGTGCGACTCCATTATCCGCATCCTTTGCATCGTGGTGATGATGGTGATCGTCTTCCATCTTCCCTTTGTTCTTCAGATCAATCAACAGCTGCAGAAAGTCGTTGCGTTTGATGTTATTCTTCTCGCGGTATTCCACTGTATCATGCACAGCCTTGAGGAAGAAATCGGAGACTTCTGGCGTAGGAAACCGAAGGCGGAAAACCTTCGCCAAAGACGGGGCGAACTGGAAAAACAACCCCAAGAGAGTCCTTGAGGCTGACGGCGCGAAAACCTTTCGCCCCATCGCTCGAAATTCGGAATCGGGATTCTTCATGGAGTTGAACTGCAGCCCGAACGCGCACGACCCTATAATGTCAGTGGTGAACTTGGCGAGAACCTCTTTGAACTCCACTTCCCCGGTGGCGCGAGCTTCTTCGGAGACGAACTGGCAGAATTCGTGAGCGCACTCGCTCATCAGGGCGAACATCATTTTCATCTTCCCGGACGTGAAGGTGGGCGTGAGCTTGGCCCGCAAGGCGCGCCACCTGGCCCCTCCGAGATTAAACAAGTGCGCGCTCAACGGGTTCCT